CCTCACCTGATGGGACCCCTCACCAGATGGGACCCCTCACCTGATGGGACCCCTCACCAGATGGGACCCCTCACCTGATGGGACCCCTCACCTGATGGGACCCCTCACCTGATGGTCCACCGTGCTTCCGTAGAGTCCATTGAGGTTGGCATAATGGCAATTCTTGTACCACCAGGCCCCGCGGTAAGAGACAGCACAGGAGATGAGCAAATTGTTGGGGTCTCGGTCCCGGGCGGAAAAGACACTGCCGCTGTGGTAGCTCATGGAGTCTCCTGAGCAGGGACAGGGAGGAGCAGTGAGGGCCTCCCCTCTGGGACCCGCCCCCCTCCCAGCGATCCCCCTCTGTGCATCCCCCTCACCTGCAGTGCCATGGTAGCCCTCCAGGTGGAGGCGGTAGTACTCGGCAGCTGAGTCCACCTGGAAGGAGTCGTACTCTGCGAACACAGCCTCATCCCCTGTCCGAAGGTCCACGCGCATGGAGTAGTCGCCAGCTTGGGTCAGGCTGTGCAAGGCCTCGTTGCCTATGGGCAGTGGGGTTCTCCGTCATCAGGATCTGGGTGTCTGTGGGATCCCTGCTCACTCCCAAGTCCCCCAATCCCTGTGAGACACTGACCAAGCCAGAACTCCCCAGAGACATTCCCAAAGCCATGGGCATAGTCCTCCCAGTCTCTCCAGAAGTCTGTCTGTCCATTCATGCGGCGCTGGAACACCTGGGACAGGTTGGGGGGGGCACCATCAGCCTCTGACTCCTGGGGCAACAGCTCCCACCTGTGCAGACCTCTAGGCGTCCTCCTACTACCCACCAGCCAGCCACCCCCATCAGTCTCCATGTCACAAAACACTTCAAGAGGTCGTTCACGGTTGCCATTGAGGAAGATGGTGGTGGTTCTCGAGGTGCTGGCCCCGTTCTGCATCTCCTCCCCACAGTCCCGGGGGAAAGGGACCTTCAATCCACCTGGAAGAGGACAAGAAGGGATCAGTACTTTCCCCAAGCCCCCCAGCCCTATCACTCCCCAACTCTGCTTCCATCCCAGCACCCAGTACCAGTGATGAAAACGGTGGACACGGGTGGTGAGAAGCTTTGGTCCCACACGGCCCGGAGCCGGGCACTGTAGGGCGTGGAAGGAAAGAGGCCTCGGAGTTGGTAAGAGGTGATGCCTCCTGGGAGAGCAATCTCCTGTGGGGTAGATGGCAGGTCAGAGGGAGGAGGAGAGGCAGAGGCACCACCTCTGGACCAGCGCCAAGGGAGGGGAATGGGGCAGCGGTGGGTCACCTGGGTCTGTCCACCGGAGGTGTCGAAGCTGAGCAGATAACCTGTGGGCGGAACTTCAGGTTCTGTCCACGTGAGCAGGGCTGTTCGGGGAGTTGTGTCCTTGGCCTTTAAGTCCTGTGGGGGCTCCAGCCCTGGGCAGGTAGAAAGAGAAGATGCAGATGCAAAACAAGGCCCATCCTAATTCCCACACTCTCTTCCTCCATCCTGCACTTCCTGGTACTTGTACAGGCTGTACCTGTGGTGAAGGTGATGCTGGCAGGAGAGGTGACATTGGGACCCCGGAGGCCCCGCACAGTGGCCGTGTAGTTGGTGTGCGGCTTCAGGTCCGGCAGGGGGTAGTCCTCTGCACTGCCGGGGGCAGAGCCCTCTAGGGATGGGGCTAAGAAAGGGCCAGGTGTCAGCTGCTGCTCTGCCAAGTCCAGTCTGCTCTCCCCTCCCAGGATACACCCCTATAGAGGTCGCATTCTCTACTCACCCCCTGAGGCTGTGACCTGCACGTTGTATTCGTCCACTGGGGTTTTGGGGGGTTTCCACTGCAGCACGGCAGAGTCGTCAGTCAAGTTCATTGCATGAAGCTGGGTAGGTCCATCAGGAACTGACAGAAGGGGAGGGGTGGTCAGAGCTGTCCTTTCTGCTCCTTTTGCCACCGTCCCAAACTCTGCTGGGCCTCTAGTCCTGAAACTGAAGCCTCCAATGCCTCTCGTCCCCATCCCTGTTCATGTTCAACTGCTGTCAAAGTCCCAATTTTCTCATTCTCCTACCTCCTGCTCCATGTCCCTGTCCCCTCATACCTGTTTTGAAGAAGCCTGTGAGAGGTTCACTCTCTTCAAAGCCTCGGACAGAAACTACAGTCACCTCATAGCGAGTGCCTGGGGTGAGCCCTTGGAGTTTCTGAGTCTGGGTCCGGCCATCCACCTGGATACTCTGTGGCTCCCCTAAAACACATTGTGGATTGGGAGGCTCCCCAAGGAACCTGAGAGGAGTCAGAGGAAAGGCACAGGGCAGGGGCCAGGAGAGACAAAAGCAAAAAACACACTATCACCTCCATCTGCCAGCTGGAAGGATACTTTGAAGCTGTCTACTCTGGATGGTGGCAGCATCCAGTGGACTGTGGCTGAGGTCTCTCCAATGTCACTGAATTGAAGGTCGCGGGGTCTCTCCAGAACTGACAGGGGAAGGCACAAGGAATGGTGGTGAAGGCAAGAGGCAGGGAGGACCAAGATTCCCTCTTCTTTGTCTCTCCTGGGTGTTCCCACCACTACTACTTTTCTTGTTGCTGAATACCATGGAGTTAGAATCAATCCATAGCTGACCCTCCAGTGGGTTTTCAGAGCCAGCAAATAGCAAGGGAGGAGATTGCCCATCTTCCTTTTACAGTGCAACTGGTAGACGTGAATCACTTGCTTTAGGGCTGACAGCATAATTCCTTACCACTAAACCACCTGAAGTGAGCTCTGGTGACCTAGCGGCAAGAAGCTGCACTGCAAGAGTAAAGGCACTTGGTTTGACTCCACCAGCTGCTCCATGGGAGAAGGATGGGCAATCTCCTTCTGCATGATTACTGCCTCTGAAAAGCCACCAGAGGGTCAGCTATGAGTCAGTCCCAACTCTACAGTACACAACAGCAACAAACCACCAGAGTTCCCTGGATACTAAAAATTGTAGTTTCTGTAGATCCCTGTAAAAGCCTCCATGAAATACCAGCTTCCCTGGCTGAGGCGCCAGGGCCCACCACGCTGTTACTGGCCATAAAGTCAGTTGACTCCTGGCGAGGCAGGTGCAGTAGAACTGCTCTGCAGGGTGGTCAAGGCTGTGAGCAGATCACCAGGCCTGTCTTCTGAGGGACCTCTTGGGGGGGGGGGTTCAAACTGCAAATCTTTTGGCTTGTAGTCAAGTGCTTAACAATTTCACACCCACCAGAGACTTTAGTTCCCATCATATGGAGTATAAAGACACCCCACTTTGTGTAGTGTGTGTGCCTGGCATGGTGCCTTGCCTGGGTTGAGGGTGCGGGCGGTGCCCTGAACACTGTCGGCCTTGTGGGGCCCACGCAGCCCATACAGCGTGAGGCTGTACAGGGTTCCGGGCTGCAGGTCCCTGAGCACAGCCGATCGCAGTGCTCCAGACACGGTCAGTTCACGCTGTAGCAGAGGTCTTGGGTACAGTTCCAGGGAGCTGAGTGATGGGACCCCAAAGCGGAGCAGGAAGGAGTCAAAGGCCCCGGGTGGGGCCTCCCAGTTGAGCCTTAGGGAACTAGTGGTCACATCAGTCACCAACAGCTGGGACAGACGGGGTCTTGGCTCGTCTGGAGTCTCGCCAGCAGGAGCCTGTCCTGGACAGACGGAGGAGAGAAGGGTTTGGGGTCTGAAGCACCTGGCTAGTGACTTACCTGGCACCCCATGCCTGGCCCCTACTTCCATATCTGAAAATGGAGCTAAGGGGGCACTAGCACCCACAGGAAGGAGTCACACAGGCCACACTGTGGTGCTTAGACAGGCCACCCCTTTCTCCCTCCATGGTGCCCTCTTCACGGCCCTTCTCTACAAGCACTGCTTCTGGGCACCCTTTCCAAGCCCAGACTGAAGGTGGGCAGGGCAAAGCAACCAGCCCTCGCCTGGTGGTACCTGTGGTGCCCTCGACCAAGATGGGCCCCACACGCGTGCTTTCTCGAAGGCCGTAGAGCAAGAACTTGTAGGAAGTGTTGGGCTCCAGGTCTGAGACCAGGACCTTGTGCTGGTTGTTGCCCACGAGCAGTGCCTGGGACTGCCCATCTGCATCCTGATACTGGACCACAAAGGAGTCAAAGGGGCCCTGGGCCACTGTCCATGAGAGATGCAGGGAGTCCGGGGTCACGTCTGTCACGGTGAATGTCCCCAGGCGGGGCTCTTCAGGAGGCTCAGGAGCCTCTGTCACAGGGTGCACAGAGTCTGGTGTGTCTTCTTCTGGGGCTAAATGGGAGAAGCCATGGGGATCAGCTGAGTTGGGTACCATGTGGTCTTCCCCTCATTTTAATTTCCCCCAAAGAAATGGTGCCAGGGCTGGCCCAAGATTACAGGGGGCCCTCATAAATCCAGGCCATGGCGGTCATGTGGAGAGGAGAGAGGGAGCAAGGTTTTTCTAGTTCTTTCTCTTGAACCCCCCGCCCCCCCACTGTGGCAATGAATTCTGCCACACTTAAGGCTTTGCTGAGACCCAACTATGGCCTGTCTCCTGTTCAGGAGGCCACTCCTTTGTGAGGTTCCCATGTCATTTGAATCAGACACTGACTGTCCCTGTCTGCACCTCAGAATCCTTTCAGACCCACTTGTGTCTATCTGCACAAGCTGCCTTTGCCTGGGAAAGCCATATTCCTCTCCCAAGTCTGGAACTGCCTTGGACTCTGCACTCTGTGCTCAGGCCTTGTCTGAGTCAGGCCTTATACAAATGTGTTCCAGAACTGAGAGTGAGAGGGTGGGGGACTGGCAGGGGCACACTGCAGGGCAAACAGGTCAGGGGAACCCGCTCCACAAATTCCACTGCTATTGGTTCCTACTAGAGCTCCACCCCCACCCATCCTATATAGTTCCAGGCTCAACAGCAGTGTGTGGGGTGGTGTGTTCTGTCCTAGTAATTTTCCACTGGAGAAAATCTTCTGGCCTTGTCCTTGGGAGGAGTACATCCCTCTCTGGGCAAGGCTCCACTGCTGGTCGATAACAGCCAGCTTTGGTGGGCAAAGGTCAGGCCTGGACACCACTGCTGGGGACTCTCCCCTTCCCACCTGTTTCTGTGTTTGACTAAATGAAAATCAGCGCTGACACCAAGGGAGACCCATGTCCCTCCTGTGCCCTGGGCAGGCCTCTCTCTTCTCCACCTATCCACTTTCCTTGTCCCTTCCTCTTCATCCCAAAGACACAAGGACACTCCCTCAGGCCAGCTTTGCCAGGGCTGCCACGCCAACACTTTGCTAGGTCCAAGAGGGACAGCCAGCCACCCTCTCACCTGTCACTCCCAGGACAGGAACGGGACCCAGGCGCTTTCCTCCGAAGAGCCCATAGAGCAGGAACCTGTACTTCCTGCCTGGCTCCAGGCCCTCCACAGTCACCTCACGCTGGTCTCCAGCCACCTGCACCACCTGGGGTTGCCGGGCTGCGTCCTTGTACTGGATCATGAAGGAGTCGAAGGGGCCTTGGGCCACTGTCCACAAAAGGCGCAGGGATTCTGGGGTCTCGTCGGTCACCGTCAGCTCCCCGAGGCGGGGTGGGAGCGGCTCCTCTGTTAGTGGAGCTGTAGTAAGGGATGGAGAGGAAATTCTTCGTCAAGAGCAGCCTTCACTTAGGCCCTGACAACATCTGGGAGACATGAGGGTCTGGGAAAGTGTCCCTAATATATGGCCTCAGGAAATGTACCCAGTGACAGAGGCAGGCCTGCTCTTGTCCTCTGGTAGAGCAGTGTGGGTGCTAGTGCAGCCTCCTCCCATGCTCTCATTAAGGTTCTTGTTGGTAGTGCCATTGAGTCAGAATTGACTCACAGCCCACCCTTCAGTGGGTTTTCAGAGGTTGTAATTTACATGGGGGGTGGGGGTTTGTTCATTTTTCTCCTGTGGAGCAGCTCGTGGATTTGAACTACTTGCTTTTCATTTGGCAGTGCAATTCCTTATCCACTAGGTCAACATTAAAGTGTAGCACAAGCATTAATAGAAAAAGCTCACCCGTTGAGGAGAGCTGACAGGGGAGCCCAAGAGGCACCTCAGTTCTCAGTGTGAAGCCAGAACAGAATGGATCTGAGTTGTCAACAAGATGCCTCCAAATAATGGCAGCCAGCCAAGCCCATGGGCTCCCCCCACCTAGAGCCATGGCCTTCCTTTCCACCTACTCTCCTGTCCTGTGAGAACATTACAGTTGGAAGAAGAGAGGTGTCCAGGTTGGGGTAAGTATTAACTGAAGCGATCCCCCATAATGAGGGCTTGGCCCCACCTGGCCACATATCCCATCCTCTTCTGGACAGGGTGACTCACGGTCTTGGGAGTGGGGTAAAGGTCAGTGACCTACTCCCACATGCCTTTTGGGGGTGCTGAGTCATGGCACAATGACACTGGATTTTTCCAGTCTTTGTGCAGCCAAGTCCTCCTGTATTTTCCACCTCTTGGTTCAGAGTGTTAGAGGGGGTGGAGTAGGAAAGTGAGCTCTACTGAGCGTTAATGCTCATGACCATTATGCAGATGAGGAAACCAAGGCTCAGGGGAAGGAAACGGCCTGTCTGTGCCACACAGCTGGCACACACAACCGACAAGGGTTGGAATGGCAATCTGAATATGGGTCTGCTTGGCCCCAATGTACGTGTTCTTTTTATTACATTGGCAGTTTGTGAATACAGGAAATGATGCACGTAAAATTCTCAGAACAGCTCCTGGCACACAGTAACCTAAAAATGAAAACCAAACTCTTTGCCACTGGAGGAGCTGTGGTGGCCCAGTGAGTTTTACGTTTGGCTGCTACCTGCTAGTTTGAAACCACCAGCTTCTCTGTGAAACATGAGCAGTATCTGCACATAAAGATTTTCAGTCCCAGAAACCCTGAAGAGGGGTTGTTGTGATATGGAACCGACTTAAGAGTTTTGGAAGTTACTACTGCATAGATTCCTATTCGTGGCAACCCCATGTGTTTCTGTGTAGAACCGAGGGGATTTTCAACAGCTGGGATCTTCTGGAAGTAGACTGCTAGGGCTTTCCTTTGAGGTCTCTTTGGGTGGATTCAAACTGTCAACCTTTTGGTTAGCAGTCATGTGTTTAACATTTGCATTACTCATAGTACACTGTAGGGGCACAATAATTGGGTTATTTGTTGTTTTGTTTTGCATGATTTTTTTGTGTGCCAAAGCTAAACACAGGAGATATTATGGGAAGGCTATGGAGCAGCTCTGGGGAGGTGGGCTGAGATGGGGTTTGAAAAGGCAGGAGACAGTGTGTGCACTCACTGGTGATGCCATCAGCAGAGACAGGCCCCAGTCGCTTCCTGCCTGTCAGTCCATACAGCAGGAACTTGTATTTCCTGTTGGGCTCCAGGCCTGGGATGGTAACCTGACGCTGGTCTGGGGCCACAGGCACCACCTGGGGCTGCCCATCCTTGTCCTTGTACTGAACCGTGAAGGAGTCGAATTCACCTTCAGGGACTGTCCATGAGAGGCCAATGGAGTCAGAAGTCACATCGGTCACTGTCAGCTCCCCCAGGCTGGGAGAAGGTTTCATATCTGAAACTGGAAAAGAGAGTGGGTATATTGAGGGGTGGAGGCAGGTAGTGGGGGACAGACTGGTTATGGGAACAGACAAGCTGTCGAGTACCCTCTGGATGCTGGAGCTCTTTGAGCTGATAGTCAGGAACTGCAGTATCCTGTGAGGTGGAAGGAAGTGGGGAGGCAGAGGGGAAGGAGAAGAGAGGAAGCAGGGAATAAAGCAAGCAGTTCTTAGGGGTCCAGTGGTAGGAAGGCAGGTGGTTCGAATCCACCAGCTGCTCCGCAAAAGATAGATGTGTAATCTCTTCCTGCGTGATTCACTGCTTGAAGCTCAGCTATGAGTTAGTTTCAACTCGATAACACATAACAACAACAATAACAATAAATAAACGGTCCCCAGGCTCTGAGGTTGGAGTTGGGGTATAGGAACATGAAATTCCAACTGTTACCACAAGGGGGCGAAGGACGGCCACCATGCTCCCAGCCCACAGGGCAGCGCCCTCCAGCCTCCAGCCCTCACTCACGAGTCTTTGCCTCTACTGCGATAGGGCCCCGCCGTTTCCCGTCTTGGAGTCCGAAGAGAAGAAACTTGTACTTTCGGGCTGATTCCAAGCCTAAGACAGTGGCCTCGCGGAGCTCTCCGCCTGCGGGCACCACCTGGAGCTGTCCTTGCGCATCCCTGTACTGGACTAGGAAGGAGTCGAAGAGGCCCTGGGCCACTGTCCAGGAGAGGTGCACAGAGTCCAGAGTCACAGCTTCCACGGTCAGTTCACCCAGGTGGGGCTCGATGGGAGGCTCAGTGGGCAAGGGGGCTAGAAGAAAGCAGGAAAGCTGAGGGCTCTGCAGGCATGCCCCTGTGCCCAGTGGGGACATTTACTCAGCAAACTCTTGTACAGCAAGTAAATAGTACACACATGTGCCTCTCAGCATATTGAACAGGTGCTATTATTGCCACTAACACATTATCATACTTACTGCACTGGTAGAAGGCACAGAGAGGCTAAGAAACCACAAAAAAAGTTGCACAATATGTTTGCAGGCGGGAATCAGACACAGGCCAGTTATGCCAGAGCCATCACAGAGACACTGTATCATTCAGTCAGAGGCCACATTGCTACCACAGAGCATGGCAATGTCTCAGATTATGATTAGAGGAAGATAGCTAACAGGCATAAATACATGTCCCACTAGTCTGATCAGTCCTCATATGATTCAGGCCACATAGTAGATTGTTAGTACCATTTCGGGGGGGAAAATGAAAAGCAGTGCCCATCATCAAGAAGAATGTGGGAATCAGAACTTAGTTTCAACTCACCTGTTGTGCCCACGGTGGACTCGGGACCCACACGCTGCCCCTCATGGAAGCCGTACAGGTTCATCTTGTACTTGCGCCCGGGCTCCAGGCCCTGCACGGTCACCTCACGCTCCTCACCCCCGACACGCACCAGCTGGGGCCGCCCGTCCCTGTCCTTGTACTGCACGGTGAAGGAGTCAAAGTGGCCCTGGGGGACGGTCCAGGAGAGGCTCAGCGAGTCAGTGGTGGATCCTGTCACCATCAGCTCCCCCAGGAGGGGCTCCTCGGGGGTCTCTGGGGCCTCTGTGGTGGGCTCTGTAGGGGTGAGGGTCTCTCCCTCTGGAGCTAGAAAGGAGACACAGAGAAGGTGACGGGGGTGGGAGGGGGGAGGCACAAGGTGGTGTCCATACATCCACAGAGAGAAGCATTGTGAAGCATGACTAAGACTGACATTGATTCTTGGGCTGGAGTCCTGCTAGGTCAGCACCTCAGAAACTTGACCGAGCCCCAGATCAGGTATGCAAACCTGCAGTAGTCACTACAGCATCACAGAGATCTCAGGGGCTTCTGCCTAGGAGGTGCAAGCTGTCAACCTCAGAGGAAAGGGCAAACGGGCCTCAGCCAAGAACAGGTCTGTGCTGACTGAAAAATATCTCTGAAAATCCTAACTCATGGTCACAGTGGGGAACAGACGGCAGCCACCAGCATGGATCACAACCCAGGACAATCTTTCAGACCTCAGGGAGCTGTGGAAGGATACTATGGCCAGCACCAGCAGAGAGAAAAATGACCCTACTTTTGTGGTCCCTGCCTCCAGAGCCTCCACCTTCCACTCACCTGTTACACCCACAGTAAAGACGGGACCCACTCGCTGGCCATTGTAGAGACCAAACAGGTTAATCTTGTACTCGTGGTCCGGCTCCAGGCCTGAGATGGTAACACTGTCCTCATGTCCTGGTACCTGTATGGCCTTGGGCTGCCCATCATCATTTCTGTACTGGACCAAGAAGTAGTCAAAGTGGCCCTCCGGGACCGTCCAGGACAGGCTCAGGGAGTCGGGGGTGGCATCAGTCACGGTCAGCTCCTCCAGGCGATGGGTGAAGGGAGGCTTAGGGGCAGCTGTGGGTGGGGCTGGGGTCGTCCTGACTTCATCTTCTGGAGAAAGACAGAGGGACAGGTGCTGGGTGCTGCCTTGCTCAAGGAAACTCAGGACACTCGGTGTTCGACCCCCAGGAATGTCCTGGGCTCCTCCCCACAGTTAGTTCTCCCCCACTTCCCTTCACTCTCCTGGTAGAGACACCATCACCTCTCTCCCGGGTACTACCTCCTATGGGATTCACTGCTCGACAATTTTTCCTTGCCTCACCCATTCTTCACTGGAATGTTTTTAAGAATAAATATGTCAATCATAAGAAATAAAGGTTAAAAAAAAAGTCAGATCCTTTTCCGTTTCAGAAGCATGATGACTGGGTGTTCATACTTCTATATGACATGTGCCACCCTTTAAACCTTGTTACGACGTAGGCATATTACCCATCTAATGTGAAAGGGGAAAAATGTCACAGTGCCAGTCTTCAGCCTAAAACTCCACAACTACCCTCCTCATCCCTGGATGGAAGCCCACACCCCATGAACCGCCTTCCTCTCTCCAGACTCATGTCATGCCATCTCCCTCCTCAGATGGGATCCTCCAGGATTTTGGTGCTTCCAGGTCTTTGCACCTGCTGTGAGGATGATCAGACACCTTCTTCCTCCTCAAACACTGATTAACCCCAGCCTGTTCCAAGACCTTACCACTCAGTGGGCACCATGACTCCCGAGTGGCTGAGAAGTCCTGGCTCGTCCTGGCTTGTGCTCCCATTAGGATAAGTACTAGTGGGATGTCATCTCAAAGACTGCTCCAGTGACCTTGCGCTGAGCCCTAGGACACTCAGCTCTGGGCTGACAAGTCCTTTTCCACTCGGTGAATCAATAAATCCTTGATTAGCTGAGCCAAGATACACTACACCCTGGAAACTGTCATCTCTATCCTGGCCTGGTTACTCAGGGAGCTATCCAGAAGAGCAATTCTAATGCAGGTTAACTTCTAAGAAAAGATCCACACATTTTTAATACCCAGCCTTGTGACTCAAAGTAAAGCCTCTGGACCAAGATCAGCATCACAGGAGAAAGCTGCTAGAAATGCAGAAGGTCAAGGCTCGTGCTCATGGACCTGCCTGCATTCTACAAGGTGCCTGGTAAATCAGACGGGCTTAATATTTGCCTTGAGATATTGCTCTGAGCTGGACATTTTTCTTTCTAGAAGTTGGGAGAAAAAGAAAAATTTTCCTAGGTATAGCATCCAACCACACCCTGCCCTGTGCCCGGCCTCCACTCACCCGTCTTTCCCACAGTGGACTTGGGGCCCACACGCCGCCCCTCATGGAAGCCGTACAGGTTCATCTTGTACTTGTGCCCGGGCTCCAGGCCCTGCACGGTCACCTCACGCTCCTCACCCCCGACACGCACCAGCTGGGGCCGCCCGTCCCTGTCTTTGTACTGCACGGTGAAGGAGTCAAAGCGGCCCTGGGGGACGGTCCAGGAGAGGCTCAGCGAGTCTGTGGTGGATCCTGTCACCATCAGATCCCCCAGTAGAGGCTCCTCAGGGGCCTCTGTGGTGGGTTCTGTGGGGGTTTCTTTCTCTGGAGCTAAGAGACACAGAGAGAGTGAGGGGACCCCCTGTGAGGTGTCCATCTGTCCTCAGGGAGAAGCACAGCAAAGCATGGCTAAGACTGAGGTTGATTCTTGGGCTGGAGTCCTGCTTGATCCTCACAAATGTGCCCAGAGCCCCAGATCCAGTGTGGGGACACGTAGTAGACACTAGAGCATCACAGCTCTCAAGGCTGCTCTCTGTCCAGGAGGCACAAACAGTCAAGCTCAGAGGAAGGGGCAGAGGGGCCACAGCCACAGCCAAGAGCAGGTCTGTGGTCATGAATAAAATCTCATCTGAAAAAACCAGTTCATGGTCATGGTGGGGAACAGGTGGCAGCCACCAGCATGGGTCACAGCGCAGGAGAAAATGTCAGACCTCAGGGAAGGTCTCTACTATGGCCAGCATGAGCAGAGAGAAAAATTACCCTTCTTTGGGGGTTCCCCCCGACTCTCCACCTTCCACTCACCTGTTACACCCACAGTAAAGACGGGGCCCACTCGCTGGCCATTGTAGAGACCAAACAGGTTAATCTTGTACTCGTGGTCCGGCTCCAGGCCTGAGATGGTAACACTGTCCTCATGTCCTGGTACCTGTATGGCCTTGGGCTGCCCATCATCATTTCTGTACTGGACCAAGTGACCCTACTTTTGTGGTCCGTTCCCCCCGACTCTCCACCTTCCACTCACCTGTTACACCCACAGTAAAGACGGGGCCCACTCGCTGGCCATTGTAGAGACCAAACAGGTTAATCTTGTACTCGTGGTCCGGCTCCAGGCCTGAGATGGTAACACTGTCCTCATGTCCTGGCACCTGTATGGCCTTGGGCTGCCCATCATCATTTCTGTACTGGACCAAGAAGTAGTCAAAGTGGCCCTCCGGGACCGTCCAGGACAGGCTCAGGGAGTCGGGGGTGGCATCAGTCACGGTCAGCTCCTCCAGGCGAGGGGTGAAGGGAGACTCAGGGGCAGCCGTGGGTGGGGCTGGGGTCGTCCTGACTTCATCTTCTGGAGAAAAACAGAGGGACAGGTGCTGGGTGCCCACCTTGCTCAAGGCAACTCACACTTGGTGTTCAACCCCAGGAATGTCCTGGGCTCCTCCCTTGCTCAGCGATCACAGGGGCAGTTCTCCTTCCTCAGTGCCTCCAGGGGGGTCCTTCCTTCCCCATATCCTCCCCACTCTCCTGGTTGAGGTCCCATGTCCTCTCTCCTGGGCAATACTTCCTACTGGTTTCGTGCTGTAAGTTTATTCCTCCTCCCACCCATTCTTCAACGAACAACTATAGTTTTTTTAAAAAAATGAAAATGTCACAGTGCCAGTCTTCAGCTTAACTCTCTACAAGTACCCTCCTCATCCCTGCAGGGAAGCCCACACCCCATGAACCGCTTTCCCCCCTCTGGACTCATCATGTCATCTCCCTCCTGAGATGGGATCCTTTAAGATTTTGGTGCCTCCAGGCCTTTGTACCTGCTGTGAGGATGAGCAGTCACCTTCTTTCTTCTCAAACACTGATTAACCCCAGCCCATTCCCAGGCCTTACCTCTCGGGCCACCATGACCCCTGAATGGCTGAGAAGTCCTGGCTCATCTACCTGTCCCAAGATCGTGTCCCTTTGCTCAATATGCACATTCACCACTTGACTCCAGGCCAGTGCTCCCATTAGGGTAAGTACTAGTAGGGCTGTTATGTCAAAGACTGCTCCAGTGGCCTTGCACTGAGCCTTGGGGTACCCATTTCTGGGCTGACAAGTCCTTGTCCACTCAATGAGTCAATAAATCTGTGACTGGCTGAACCAGGATGC